GGGATCCTGGCGGTGCGACTGCATCACAAGGCGCGGTTCTGCCTTCCGTCGGGCTCCAGGACCCTCACAGATCGATCCTGCCCGAAGCAAGGGCTCCCAACTTCGCGCTTCGCGCTCCGCGAAGCGCGAATAACTTCGCGCTCTCGCGCCGCCCCCCCAAAGGGAGAAAAGGAGGACGAGGAGGAGGGGGAGAAGGAACGAGGACCGCGAAGCGCGAACCGCGAATAACTTCGCGCCCTCGTGGGAGCCCTTGCCGAAGAGTGCCGCAGGAAGGATGTGGCCCAGGGCACGTGCCGAGTTTCCTGCGATGCTGCAAGTCGTCGCGCCGTCGGATCAAGAAGGCCCCTGGCCAGGACTCCCACAGGCGTCTTGAACCAGCCCAGATCTCCTCGATCCTCGGCCTATGGGGTCCCCCAGCAGCGTGCGGAGACAGACCATGCGGTGGCCTCGGAATCTCAGGAGCAGAACTCACCGCACGGACCGCGCCACCGCACTGTTTTTGTTGGAGCCTCGGAGGCCCCCGTCGCCCGAGGCACTTGTCATCTCGGGTGAACGACCCAAGTCCCGCAACCGTGCGGCCGCCCCGAAACCCCACTGCCTCGCCCGAAGGTTCGCTGTTCTGGGGCTTCCGAGGTCCTCCCTCCTCCTCGAGCCTCTCTGCTCGCACGAGGCGGGCGTGCCCCCCTGGCAGTGATCCCCCCTTGCCAACGCCGAGGTCGACCCTGAGGCCCAGTCCCCCGACGCCTCGAGAAGTCGAAGAGAGATGACTCCAGATTTCGTAATAAAAGGGAGGGGGTCTGGACCCTCCAAGACAAGCCATTTCAGACCTCCCCCGTGGGAGAACCCTCCAAAACATAGTCCCCAGACCCCCCAGGCCCTCCGAGATAGCCTGGAAGAGACCCCCCCCCGAAATGAGACCCCCCGCCCTTTATTACGAAATCTGGAGTACTTGTGACGTAAAGCAAAACAAAAAGTCGGTCTCCGAGGGCGACCTTCGGGCTCCAGGAGACCGCCAGAGAACGGGCCAGGGCGAGAAGCTCACCGCAGGGAAGGGGCCCAGGGTTCCGTGGCCCGCATGCCGACTTCTTGGGAGCTGCATGGTGCTCCAGCACAGGTCATGCGACGCGTGCCGCTCATTGGATGAGGTCGCACAGCATGAACATGTGTGCGGCTGCGGGCGCAGAGAGATGACGAAGCATGACCCTGGGGCCCTATGGTTGGAACAGGCCAGGGCGTCAGGGAACTGGGGAGGAGCAGGAGAGGAAGACCCGAGCACGTCGCCAGGCAGACGCAAGACCGACCACGGCCGCCAAACTTCGCGCGCACGCGCCGCGGGTCGCGCGAGATGCGAGAGGCCTGCGGCCATCCTCGCGCGTGAAGGCGCCGCCGCCTGGAGCTGAGGGGAGCCGGCAGGGGGAGCGGGCTCAGGGGGGGGAAACGTCTGGACCGAACCAGGGACCGGCCGATGACAGCCAATCCGCACGCTCCTGGGTGGAGTGCGACATCTATCGGCGATGAGTTGAGAACTGCGGGGCGATGCCTCCCCCCCCCCCGAGCCTGCCCCCGCCCCCCTGACGTTGCCGCTGCGAGCAAGAGACCAAGAGCAGCTCGGTGGCGAAGATCACGACCCGCGGTCCACTTCGGCCCATCCTGGCTCCAGGATGAGGGGCATACGCCCTCCTGGCCTGGCCAGACGGCATGTGCTCCGGTGCTGGCCCCAGGATTGGCCAAGCCCGGATCGGTGCAGCGCAGCGCTTGGAGAATCTCCCTGTGAAGCGAACTGTGCAGTGCAGAGAGGGGCCGCGCTGTCTGAACCAGGCTTCGGACACCCCACGATAGCCCCAAAGGCCTCCAAGACGGCCCCAAGACGGTCCAAGAAACCCCCAAGAGGGACGGCACGAGAGGGCCCAGGGCGGCCCAAGAGACCCCCAAGACGGCCCAAGTGGGACCCAAGACGGCCAAAGGGACCCCCAAAACGGCCCGTGTCGGTGATAGTCAGCCCTGCCCTTCCTGGACAGGAGAGTGGTGCAGCTGCGAGTCTGCAGGGCCTGAGGCCCGTGGCGACGGCGCCGCGCGCGCCGGATCTCGCTCTACTTGATGCGCCCGCCATCAAAATTGGTGAGCACAACGGAGTGGCAAGGAAAACAAAAGCAGACAGAAAACATGAATCGACCCGACATGAATCGGCCCGCTTTAATCAACATGCCCTCCCAACCCAACCGCCACGTAGATTTGAAAAGCGTCCCGTCATGGAGCAGGGCAAGACAAGCACTCGCATGCGCCTGCTTGCTTTGCTTCCCGCTTGGTTGACTTTGCTTACTGCCTTGATGGATTTCCTGATCCGTTGAATACTTGCGCATCGCGCACATGGCGCTTGCCCGTGCAGGCTTGCGCCGCCCTGGACCTGCGCGTACTTGGCTGGCCTTCCCTTGGTTGACGTCCTTGCGCCCGCCTGCTTGGATGTGTTTGGCTCTGTACCTTCTTCGCTGCATCCGCACCGCTGGTCTGCTCGCACCCGAACCGTGCTCCTGCGTGTGCGCCTGCGGATCCATCTGCTCAACGCCCGCCTGCTTCCTCGACGGCGCCCGCTGCCGTGGTGACTGTCGCCCTCGTGCTCGCTCCTGCCTGCTTGTGCGCGCACGCGGCACTGCCCGCCTGCTGATGGATCTCGCCTGCGCGCTCTCACGGCTTGGTGTCCCCTGTGCTGTCTTGGCCTCTTGCGCTTGGGGTGCCGTATTGCGCTCCCGCCTGCTCTGCAGCGGCTTGCACGTTCCCTGAACTGGTTGTTTGTGTTGCGTGCTTGCTTGATGCTGATTACCTGCGCGTGCTGTCGCACCAGTGCGCTGGCTTGCACATGAACCCAAGCATGCGCACGACATCATGCGAATCATATAATCACGAGATGGTACACCCCGATCTATAAACACGCACGCTAAGGCAACGAACAACAATGTGTGGCGATGCTTTGACCGACATAAGGTCCACAACCAGCACCAACATGCAATGCATATTCTTGTGGTAAAGTGTACCCCAAATGTCATGACAAAATGGAGAGGGATTGACTGGGCGTGGGGTCTGCTTTGAGCTGTCTTGGAGGGATCCGGGGTGTCTGGGCACAATGCCGCCCTTTCTTTGCTGATCTGGGGGGGAGGTCAGGACCTGTTCATCTGGAGGGTGGTGTGTGACCCCTCCCCCCCTTCGATTACAAAATCTGGGGCCCGCGAGATCGGCAGGAAGCTGCGGGGTAGACACAAGCTGCTCCGGTTGCCACCAGGGGATGAAGCAGGAGGGGGCGGCCGCTGCGGCACCGGGGGGGGGGGGGGGCCACACGCGACGCCGCGAAATAAGAGGCGGCCATGGACGTGCAGTCATCGTCGTGCTACCCTAAGGAACGCACCATAAGGAACGCAGGCGCTTTACTGGCCACCGCGGGCCTATCGTTAGGTCGGGCATGTCCTCCTACAGGCGGATTTTGGAAGGAAAATGTTCAAACAATACGCCCACACTTTGCAAAACATAATCAAAACTAGTCTGGAACTAGTTCCCAGGTTTTTTGGTCTTATTTTTGAGCATACCTCCTGTAAAAGGACACGCCCGACTTGAGCCTGTATGAAGGGGCCCCAAGACACACAAACAAATACACACAAATAAAAGTATTCCCCATATTTTCCTATATTTTCTGGGTTTTTGTCTTCCCCCCCACTGCCCATATTTTCCCATATTTTCCTGGGGATCGCCGATGAATTGTGTCTGTGTGTTTTTTCCCCTCCTGAGTCTTGGCCGCAGGCGGGGGAAAGGAGATGGTGCTGGGAAGGGGAGCTGGCCTGTAATCGGGGGGAGCGAACGGGGGGGATAGCAAAGGGTAGGGTAGAGAATCTGCTCACGTGGCCGATTTTCCCAGCGCCTCCCGGCGCCGGGAGGCGCCCGTGCATCGGGGAGTGGGGCCGGCGGCGGGGCCGAAACCAGCAGCATGAAGCAGATCTCGTAGCCCCCCCCCCCTTTCCCTGTCCCGCCCTCAAGCAAGAAGCTCGACTTGCGCAAGAAGCTCGTGTGGTACACGTTGTGTGCGGCGAGCTGGTTCGAAGGGGGGCGTCGAGCGATGGCGACTGACACGCGCCTCGGGGCATGGAAGCGCTACGCACAGCGGCCCCGCACTGGCAAGCGACCAGGCGGGGCGCGGCCCGAGCGAGCCGCCGTGCGCACTCCACCTGCTCACCTGCGGCCCAGCCCAGCCACAAAGACGGGTGCCCGCGTGCGGCTTTTTGTTCCGGCCTGGGATTGCTCTGACGACGTCCATGCAGTCAGCGTCATGCAACCTCACTCCCCTAGGAGAGCCTGATCGGCGAACTCCTCACAGCCGTCCCGTAAGAAGCTACATCATCCATCACTTGTGAATGCGCGCCTGGTCTCGTGACAGACGTAACTGAACACCAATGCAGGAAGGAACCCGGCCTGAAACACCGTACATAAGACGGCTGTGCAGCCGATCGCTCACTCTCTGTCACGTCAGCACGTGAGCGGACGCCGCAGCAAGCAACGTGAAGGGGAACAGACGGTCTGCGCGCGTAGGCACTGTGCTAGACTTCGCTGGTGCTGTAGTGGTGGTCGTGGTCGTGGGGCACGCGACCACCTTGCTGCACTTCGTTGTCTCGGCCATGGGCCCCACGCAGCTCTTGCCGCCGTTCTGCGGCAAAACCTTGAAGCCGCGCGTCCGAGCCTGCGTCCCCCTCGCGCCACAGGTCACGCTGCAGATCGGGTTGGTGACCCACTCGGCCCACACGCAGTCGATCGGCTTGGGAGTCTCCCCCTTCTGCCCCTCTTGATGACCCTCAGAACGTGTGCTAGCGCCAACGTGGGCTGGTCTACCGAAGCCCCCCAAGACGACGGAGGTGCTGTAACGATGGCCGGTGCAGGCCGAAAAGGGTACACACACATTGGGCTAATACACGTCCTGAGGATCATCGAACCTTGTGTGGGGCAACAGTAGGAGGGGGGAACTG